CCGCAGCGGGAGAGGCCACAACAGTGAGAGGCCCGCGTACCGAAAAAAAAAAAGAAAAAAAAAAAAAAATATTTTGGGGGGGTGGGGGGGGGGGGAGAGCCCAAGGAAAACCAAAATTTCCACAGCTGGTCAAGGTCAAGTTTGTGAGGCTGTGGGACTGACTCCTCGGCCAAGGACGACGATGGCCCTCTCTGCCGTGCCGCGGGGGACCCTATAAGCGGGGCCAAGAGCGGGGTCCCTCTTCCCGCACAACACCTGCCAGGCTCCAGGCTAGAGGGAACCGCCGCTGGACCCGGGCGGGAAGAGCCACGGCGCCTGCGCAGTGGGCCGCACCACCGCGCCTGCGCACTGGGCGGACGCGCGGTGCACGTGGGCGGGGCCCCGCCTCCAGATCCTCCTCCCGCAGCCCGCGGGTGGAGGCCATGCTGAAGCCGGTGGGGCGGGAGCGCGGGGAAGCGATCTTCGCGGCCCGCGCACTCCCCCGGGACTGGCACCTCGCTCCGTGGGTGGGGCACAGGGCCCTGCAGGGTAAGCGGCGGGTTCCGCCGGGCCCGGGATATCTATGCACGTGGGCCCCCTCGGGCACTGTGCGCTGCGCCCTGGAGAAGGGCCGGGGCGGAGCAGGGCCGGGGGACTCCGGGGCGCAGACCCAGCGCCTGGCAACTCCCCGGTCTTAAGCGGCAGCGCCTGGAGGCGGCCTCAGGGTCACTGGCAGCCAGGACTCGGCTGACCAGTGAGGGGCGCGGTCGGTGTTTTGGCACCGGGTGCGCAAGACAGTCGGAGTCTCCAGCCCCAGGGAGCCTGTAGCCCTGCTGTCTTCATTCATTCAGCCAGGGTCTGGCTGACCCGCTCCCAGCTCTGTGCCGGGCTCAGGAGATCCAACAGGGGCAGGACAGGCAGGGGAGAAAAGCCCGTTTAAACCTACCAGGAGACTTAGTATTTGTTCATGTGCTTTAATCTTGTATAGGTTTTAAGCACATGCGGCAGTCATTTGCACGCACGGCCGTTTTGGGTATTTTAACCTTGGGATAGAACTTGTACTTGGAGAGCCGAGCTGCCGTCCCCAGCTCCTAGAAAGCTAGTCGGGGGATGGGGCGGGCCCCGTCCGGACATCACTGCCACAGCCCCACACCGAGATTCTCCTCTCTGACCCTGACAGAGGGAGGCACCCCCGCGCCAGGAGCCCGCTGAGAGCAAGGTTAGCTCAGCCAAACCTGTTTGCCTTTGTGCACCTACATCCTGCCCCACCCCCCAGCCTACTCATTCCCTCCAGGCTTACCTTTCCTTACAGCTTTGTTCTAGACTCTCCTTTAAAGTACAAAACTCATCTAAAATTGTTTTCCTTCGTGATCCTCTGGGGAGGGCCACTGTGGTGTTAGTGGTGTCACAGAAATGTGATCTGCCCCTCCGTAGCTCTGGACAAGCACCTTACCCCATGGAATGAAACTGGCTTTTAGGCTCGGGCCTCAGTGCCATGGAGGTGATTGTGGGCCAGGCTGTTCCTGGCTCTGTGCCCCCTCAGGGTTATGTTCTGTTTGGCCTCTGTTTATGTCACCCTGAACTTGGTGTGTAACTTGAATGATTATGTGTATGTAATTTCACATGAGTGTTTTTTGGTCGTCTAAAGTAGTCTTCTATGAATAGGGAAAGTGAAGTGATTTGGAGACAGAAGCCAGAAACTCCTCTGCCTTGCCGCGTGCCAGCTGTGTGATCCCAGGCAAGTCCGTTTACAGACATTCCCGGGCCTTGGTCCTGTTGTATGGAAGTAAGTCATCATATGTCGTGTGGTATATAAGTGCCAGCCTGTGGGCCTCTGGTAACAGGATCTAGCATATTTAAAGGGGTATTTTTTAAGTGGGTAGACAAATTTAATTAAGAGCAACCTTTGCCTCGAAATTTAATATACTACCTGTTAGTCTGATCACGTATGTTATGCTTCTTAGACTAACACAGGACATGATAAAATTTGACTAGGTAAAAGGATTTTATAAAATGCTTTCAGAGTTGTAAGATGTTAGTATTGTTTTTGTGTCCTCACTAATCATCCTTGGAAACAGTAGCTTTAGAACTTTCCCTAGAAATACTTTTTTGTTAAGTGATCACTTAGCAGTGGGAAACTTTGGGTTACTATAACCTAACCAAAGGAGACCTCTGACAGGGCCTGTTGCTGGGTGAGAGCTGGCTGCCTGGGGATGGCTTCCTCGAGCACTAACCCCAAACCTGTCATCTTTCACAAGGCTCAGTTCTGTTTCTGACTGATGTCCTGCTGTCATTTCAAACTCGACGTGTAGAAAACCTGGTCACTGCTGTCTCCTGCCCCATCCCACATGGCCATCACGTGGGTCCTGAAGCATCATCCATGCCTCTTGGTGAATTGCTATGTCATCAGCTTGCTTTCTTCACCAGCAAGCGATGGCTGAGCAGCTGCTGGGCTCTGGCCTTGTGTCATGGGTGGGAGATCAGGATGACTGGGCTGGTCCCTGCTTCCAGAGAGGCACCATCTCACCAGAGGGAAGGGAGACACAAATGAACAACTCCACATGCAGCTTACTCAGGGAATGAGACTGGAGAGCACCAAGGAACACAAAGGAGGAGGCTCCGGCTGCAGGGTTCAGAGCGGCAGTGAGCATAGCATTTTGGGTAGGTTTTGCAGGGGTGTGGATAAAGGACCAAAGAAATAGGATGCTTAAAAAAAAAAAAAACAGAATATTTAAGGCTGTCCTAGATAAAGGGCTGTGTTCCAGACTGCTGTAGCAGCACAAGACAGGCTAAGTCCCTGCGCTCGGAGGCTGATGGCCTCGAGGGGACACAGACCTTCAGGAACAAATCCCACAGACTCATCATCATCACAGATAATGGTGGTGCTTGGTCAGGAGGGGGCAGGGAGTCATGGAGCACATAGTGGGTGGAGGTGGTCAGGGAAGGTGGGGGTGACAGCTTGTCAGCTGAGGCTTAGGGATGAGGACCAGGTCGGCCCACCTGAGCAGGGCCAAGAGAGGTAGAGAATAAGCACAGAGGCCGATGGGGGCCAGGCCTGGGCAGGGGTATGATGTTATTCTGAGAGTGAAGTGAGGCCTGAGCTGGGGCTGGGGAGGGTGAGTCTTGGGGAGGGAGCTGCTGAGAGAGCCTTCCCTGAGGCCCCTTGTGCTCAGGGAGGGGTGCATTGTCTTGTCCCCCCCGCCCCGTCCGAGCTTGGATGGTGAGCCTCTGGGAGGGCCACTCCCCTGGCAGGGGCACAGGGCTGGCCCAAGGTTTGGACAGTGCTCCAGGGTCCACGGGCATCCAGGTGTGGCTGTAGGGCTGGATTCCCCCCAAGGGCCACTGTTCCGTCTCTCCTACCCCCAGACAGCCTGGGGTTGGCGTGAGGCCACCAGAGGCTGCCCCCTACGCTTCTAGGCCCAGCCCCCGCTCCCCCTCCCCTGTGAGGGCCTTTACGCTGTCCTCCAGCCCTCCTCCCCCGCCACCATCCCTGTGTCCTGAGCACGGCCCACACACCCCCAGGGCTCTGGTCCACAGACACTCGCCCTGCTTCCCACCCGGCACGTGCCTGTCTCCCTCCCCCTGGGACATCCACTCCACCTCCCACACTGACAGCCAGGGTGGACAGATGGTGGACGTCCCCAAGGGTAGGGGGAGCCCCGAGAACCAGGCGCCTCGCTTCTCGTCTTCTGAAGTCTCGAGTTCCCGCCCGGTGCCTCCGCTGAGCACATGCCTCCATTTTGGGGTGCATTGAACCAAAACTAGAGGTGCTGAATTGATTTATTTTGCTCTGGGCTTTGAAAGCACATGGGCATTATTTCCTTCTCAGCAGGA